GTAAAAATCTTACAATTCTAAGTTCATGTTTGATTCTGCAGCTGATATGGTTGCTATTTGAGTCACCATTTTTCGTCTCTTTGCTCCTGTCTAGTTCACCAGCATCTCCAGAGTCTACATACATCATTGACTTTCAACTTTCTTAGCCCCTGGCAATCTTTTGAAGCAGGTGTTTTGTTCTTGCTATGGTTGCATTATCTCAAGTTGGCCCTTCCTTAATTAAATAGTTACAAATCCAAGTATCTGTTATTAGAGTCTGTCCACTAAACACACAGAGCTTCCAGTTCAGTTTATCCCAGTTGGAATTAAACACAAACAAGAATTTGGGATGAAGGTCAGGTCTTAAATTCCTGGTGGCAAGTAATGTTAAGGAGTGTGTGGGTGTTAAGAAGCAAAGGACAGGTTGCTTTGATTTGAGAAGGCAAAAGGTCATCTACCTATAAGAAGCATAAACAGTATAAGTATATATTGAAAATAAGTTACTTAAAGTAATCTGAAAAAAATGATTGTGAAATCCAAAGCAACAGATGTTAACAAAATTAGCTCTGAGAAGCTGTTGAACATGTGAACTGCTTTGTAAATAAGATGGTATGAAGCATGAAAGATTTTTCTAAAACCATTATTTAATATAAAGGACAGAATATTAAAAAGTAAATATATTGCAGTAAATCTTTTGGATTTAGCTATTTATTATTATGGCTGAGGCAGTTATTGGATGTTCTATGTTACTCAGAGTTTTTTTCAATATTGAGGTTTTTTTTTTGTTGTTGTTGCATGTCAGGATCTGCAGAGTTTATTGAAGGAAAGCTATAGCTTCCTTCTCTTGAATACTTTGAAGTAGCAGTTTGTTCTGAAGAAGCAAACACCCTATGAGTACTTGATAAGATAGAAAAATGTGGGTTAGGCAGCATCATCAACAGATGTATCCGTAGCTGGCTGACCGGCCGTATTCAGCGTGTGGTCCCCAATGGAACCGCATCTACATGAGGGATGTGTGTACTGGGGTGCCCCAGGCCTCTGTTCTGGGCCCTATGCTCTTCAACATCTTCATAAACGATTTGGATGAAGGGATAGATGGGGAAATCATCAAATTTGCAGATGACATCAAGCTGGCAGGAATAGCCAACACTCCAGAAGACAGGCTTAAGATACAGAAGGATCTGGACAGACTTGAACACTGAGTGCTATCTAACAAAATGAAATTCAGTGGTGAAAAAAGTAAGGTTCTACATTTAGGCAAGAAAAACCAAATGTACAAGTATAGTATAGAGGGTACCTTGCTCAATAGTAGTAACTGTGAGAGGGACCTCGGAGTCCTAGTGGACAATCACTTAAATATGAGCCAGCAGTGTGCTGCAGCTACCAAAAAGGCCAACACAGTGCTAGGCTGCTTTAACAGAAAGATAGAATCAAGATTACGTGAAGTATTAATACCACTTTACAATGCCTTGGTAAGGCCACACTTGGAATACTGCATCCAGTTTTGGTCACCATGATGTAAAAAAGATGTTGTGACTCTAGAAAGATACAGAGAAGAGCAACAAAGATGACTAGGAGACTGGAGGCTAAAGCATATAAGGAAAGGCTGCTGGAATTGGCTATGTCTAGTTTAATGAAGAGAAGGACATGATAGCAGCGTTGCAATATCTCAGGGGCTGCCACAAAGAAGAGGGAGTCAAGCTATTCTCCAAAGCTCCTGAAGGCAGGACAAGAAGCAACGGATGGAAACCAACCAAGGAGAGAAGCAACCTAGAACTAAGGAGAAACTTCGTGACAGTTAGAACAATTAACCAGTGGAACAACCTGCCTCCAGAAGTGGTGAATGCTCCAACACTGGACATTTTTAAGAAAAGACTGGACAGTCATTTGTCTGAAATGGTATAGGGTTTCCTGCCTGAGCAGGGGGTTGGACTAGATGACCTCTAATGTCCCTTCCAACTTTATTGTTGTCGTTGTTGTTGTTGTTGTTATTATTATTATTATTATTATTATTATTATTATTATTATTATTATTACTATTATTATTATTATTATTATACAGGTGGTCCTTGAACCCAGAATTTTCATTGCTACATAAGACAGTCATTAAATGAGTTGTACCCAATTTTACAATGGTTTTTTTTGCCACAGTTGTTCAGCAAATCACTCCAGTTTTAAATAAAACATGTGGTTGTTAAGTGTATCTGACTTTCCCCGTTGGCTTTGCTTGTTGGAAGCTGGCTCAGAAAGTCACAAATGTGATCACCATGGCCTTGGAATAGTATAACTGTAGATGGATGGATGGATGGATGGATGGATGGATGAATGGATGAGTGTGTGTGTGTTAGTGTGTGTGTGTGTATGCCGGTTACCAAGTACCCAGATTTTGATCACATGACCATGAGATGCTGCAATAGTTGCAAGTGTGAAAACAGTCATTAGTCACTGTTTTCAATGCTGTTGTAATTTCATATAATCGCTAAATGAATGCTTGTAAGTCAAGGACTTACCTGCATGAAGTTTCCTTGCACTGAATTAGATCATTGCTTGTCTGCCAGCATTGGTATTGTCTGTGTGGCATGACAAATACTTCGTTGCAGACAAGAATGCTGACTTTTCCCAGCATTATGTAACCTCAACTCCCAGAATTTCCTAGCCAGCATGAGGAACTCTGTTAGAGAAATCCATGTGTCTTAAATTGTTAAGGTTGGAAAACCCTGAGCTAGAGTTTAAAGATAAAATCTTACGTGTACAATGTAAGTACTTGTCTATAGATAAGCAGACTTGAATCACTACCACACTGCTGCAACATTTTGGCTCCTGTGTGTATTTGGGAAGATTACTCCACCCACCCACATTTTAAATTTTAATCAAGCAAACAAACTTTAACATAACTTGGCAATTCTTATTCATCATTGGAGAGCATTTAATAATCATTCTCATAAGGGTTTCTCATATGTCTTGAGAACAACCTCATGTTGGCAGTCATTTAGAAAGAAATCTGTTCTGGATTGTGTTAAACTGGAAGACTGAGCAGCTGTTTACAGATGTTTGGCAGCCACATTCTTAACAGCTGTTCACATACAATCAACAATATATAGCCCTATAGATAATAGTCTATTCTTTACAACTCAGCTTTTCAAAAGAAATGGATATGATTATGATACACTTAATATGTAATTATTTTTAAATTACAATAACATGGCAAAAACATATTGCATCATATCTCAAGTAAAAGAGAAATAAAACCTGCATTTATAAAAACTATCTATTCCCATATCAGCATTCATTTCCTTTTGGCCTTTTGGGACTTAAACCTTGGTACTCCCTGAATTTTTTTCTTAGAACATAATTGTTTTAAACATCCTGCCAGCATACAAAACAATAGCTGAAGATGCAGTTAAACTTTAAGAATTGTGATTTAATTATAATAGTAGAGGCTTTGCCAATGGATTCTTGTGCCTGTAAATCATTCTCACATTTTTATTTCAACAAAGTTTCATTTTATGTAGCAATATTTTCTTTAAGCTCCCTCTTTCCTCTTTGTCAGCAGTCCAGGAAGTATGCAAGCCTTACCAGTTTGAATGCAGGAATTTTCCTAATACAAGTAGCTTCTTATGTTTTCAGTTTTCAGACATGCAATTTGTGAATTTTTTTTTTAAATGTAATGCTAGATCAGATTGTAGATTGTTTTAGAAGAATGACATAATTGAACCATCCTTTAAACAGGAAAGTAAATAGATTTGATCTGAAATTATTATTTTATTTTGTCTAACTTTCCTTCCCTTGTGGGTTTATGGCTCTTGATTTCCACTATAAATATGTGTCTAGGTATCTAGCTAATATAAAAGAAAATATTGGGGGTTTCTTTTGGGTATGTCTAGTTTAATGAAGAGAAGTGGGGACATGATAGTAATGTTCCAATATCTCAAGAGCTGCCACGAAGAAGAGGGAGTTAAGCTATTTTCCAAAGCACCTGAGGACAGGACAAGAAGCAACGGATGGAAACTAATCAAGGAGAGAAACAACCTAGAACTAAGGAGAAACTTCCTGACAGTTAGAACAATTAACCAGTGGAAGAATCTGCCTCCAGAAACGGAGAATGCTCCAACACTGGGAGTTTTTAAGAAGAGACTGGACAGCCATTTATCTGAAATGGTATAGGGCTTCCTGCCTGAGCAGGGGGTTGGACTAGATGACCTGCAGGGTCCCTTCCCACTTTACTACTACTACTATTACTACTGTTATTATTATTATTATTTCTAAAACTATACACCAAAGTAGGCAAGGATCATGTGAACTCAGTTTTCTGGAATATAAATGGATGGACAGGTGTGAATATAAAATGCTCTACTTCAAGTTCTCAGTGTGTATAGATATTAGTCTCTTTTTCTAACCCTGTGGAAGGAGAAATTATGAAGCCAACAGACTCTGGAATTGCTGATTTCTTTTTAAAAAAACTCCACTATGTACGTTCATTGGGTGGGGTAGTTTTGAATGGGATTAACAAACCAACTTTCAAATTAAAGTGTTTTGATTGGTCAGAACACACTTGTTCATTTCTACCATCTTGGATACACAGAGTCTTAATACAGGTAGTCCTCAAGCTACAAATGCAATTGGGGCCAGAATTTCCTTTGCCAATGTAGTTGTAAAGCTCAATGTGACCGCGTTGCTTGGCAGTTGGAATCTTGGCATCTACTGTTGCTGTTGTTAGCTGAGGATGTACTGAATTGGTCCCACTCATCCCTAAGTCTCAGTTCTTCCCCCCCCCCCAATACACTTCTGCCCTTTAGGTTGCTTGTACCCTGGCTTGTGGGATAGCAAGCAGCTGCTGAACTGCAGTGTAGTGTGAAGCAGCAACAGCCCTGGGGATTGTACAAAGCCCAGCTATCCAGGAATTCTGGGGCTCAGTTCAGAACAGCAGCATGGTGTGAAGTTCCAACCCAACTCTACTCACCATCCTACACTCTGCCACGCCAGTTAACCATCATCTTTTTCGTGCTCCTGCTCTTCCCCAGGTATGCCCAGCCTGACCCTTCACAAGACAGCTGCTGGCCACATGAGGCCTTCATCCCCTGATCCTGCAAGCAAATCACCATCTGCAGCCTTCAGAAGTAAGCTCATATATTCAGCAGCTTCCTTGTAAATGGCAAGGTGGACATACCTCATCAGTAGCAGAAACAAGGAGACAGTGAAGGCCAGCTGGGCATGATGGAATGCAGGACAGCAGGAGTTACAAAGTGCAAGGGGGTCAAAAGGCAGACAGGGAGAAAGAAGTAGGTAGGTGGGGGTCTATGTTGGCAGTAACCCTCCAGTTGTAAGCGTGGGCAGACTGCCAAGCATCCAAATTTTGATCAGGTGGCTTCTGGGACTCTGCAACAGCCATTAAGTTTGGGATATGGCATAAGTGCCATTGATTCAATACTACTATAATTTCAAATGATTGCTGAATGAGGACCACTTGTTTAAGACTGATCCATATGGTTATATCTCATTATAATGATATATTATAATAGATATATAATGCTACTGTTATAATAGTGCTATTTTACACATCTCCCTTCAGCATTAACTAAAATGATAATTGAGCCTCTGTCATTTGAAATTGTTTTGGATAATAGAGATAAATGCATCTCTTATACGCCAATGGGATGAATAGAATGAGGGCATTTCTGAACTTTCGAATTATGCCGAGAAAGTTGTAGAACCATATTTATTTCAATAAAAGGATACTACAATGGTAAAAATTATCAAACTAGTTTTGAAAATGCATTTTATTGGAATTTATTTGAAACTTGGCTCTTTCACATAAAATCCAAACTATGCTTGGTAATAAAGAGAATAATCGTGCAAGTCATTGTAATAAAAACTTATGGAGGAATGTTTCTGGCTGAATATCCAGAATATTGTTTAAAATTTACACTCAGAGCTGTTATTATGAATTTGGTGGCTGTAGAATAAATACACAAACAAAAACAATATTAAATAGCTTGCACAAGAAGTCATATTCCAGGGATGCAATGGTTGTATACATCAACACACTATAAAATGCAGGGATTTTAACTTGTGTAATGTAATGTTTCCCCCCTTCCTTCTTTTTATCTTTTTGTCATGGAGAAGAATTTAATCATGTAAATACGTTTCATACTGAAGTGTAAAAGGAATGTATGTCTTCATTTTTGCCTGGAAGAATAATTCACAGTATAATCCTGAGTTGAACTAGCAAAACGTTCAGGTAATGCTAACGCACCAACCTATATATACCAGCCAGCAGCAGCCATGGGAAGAACTGGGGATGCTCAGATGAAAGCAGTATCACAATGTCACCATGCAAATCCCAATCCTTTTCTGACTGTGATAGGATGCTGTACACATGCCCCAAAAGGACATAGCTTGCCGTGTGACAGCATGACCCTGCTCTTGTAATCGTGATAAAAGCAGTGAGATCCTGGGAATGCCAAAGCACACAACATTTTCTGTGCATTTCCCCATTATATTCAATCTGCCTTTCCTCCTCCGATTTGTGGTGTAGCAGCCAGAGAAAAATTACTCTTTAAGTAGTGCTTTAAATTAGAGATGCAAATAACATGTTGCAAAGTCTTTTCCCCTCCTTTGTTATCAGGTTGCCATTTTGGCAGGAAGCAAAGATATTTGCCTTTGAACCTAGAATTCCTCTATTCCTTCTGACAGACTTTCAACTTCCTATGCAGATTAGGCCATTACATTAGACAGAGGCTGAAGGAGCCCTCTTACCTAATTTAACCTTGCCATAGTATTGAAAGAGATTTATGGCAATGTTGGTGGCAATTTGGTAGGGAAAATAATCCTTCTAAGTCTCTGCTGAACTGCATGTCCTCAGGTTGCCTGAGGTCGTAAAAATATTCCCAACTACCTTACCTGTTTGATGGCCTTTAGTATATCATGTGTGGGTTATCTGATATCCTCCATCTCAAAAGTCTGTGTTCCAAATTCTGAAGTTTCACAGGAGTGGGGAAAAGATGTTCTCCAAGTCACATCAGGATGGTCTCTAAAAGTAGAGATTGATTCCACACGCTATTTCTGGGAAATCTTGCATTTTCCTATTGTATAGCAAGAAAGGGCCCAGTTTTTATGTCTCTTGTTCCAGCTGAAAAATTCTTCATTTTAAATGAAACAGTTTAGATAGGAACACAAAGACATTGTTTCCATCTTTCAAGTTGGCACGACTGCTGAGGAAACAAATGTGTGAACTGTCTCTGGACTAGGATGGTGAAAATGGCTAGGTTCTATTTGGAATGGAGCAATACCCTGTTCCATAAGGCTATCTGTTGCAAATAAAAAGCTTTGTGTTAATTTTCTTACAGTTCAAATGTGATGTGTCTGGGTGTGGGTGTGCGGGTGTGTATGTTCCTTTTGTCAGGAGCTACCTCTTTTTCACATCCGCTATATTTCTGATTAAGATTATTGGAGCATGACTTCAATGAGTTCTAAAAGAGGCATATTAATCTCAGCTTCCACTCAGGGATATATTTTCACTGTAACTTAGTGATAAAAGCACCTCCCTCATCTACTCTATCATGGCTTTTTTTTTCTTTTTTGTCTCTGGACATATTTCTGAAATAATAACGAAAATATTCCCTTTACTCAGTTCAGGAGAACTGGGCACAAATAAGGGAAAAACAACACAGTCTCTTTGAGGAAGCTGCTGTATTTTAAAGATAAAGTGCAAGGTGAAAACAAATTTCTTAAAATGTACTGCATTTTCTTTCTGATAAGCTAGAGAATAAGGTGTGTGAGATGGGAAAAGAACAGTAGAAATTCCTCTTAACTAGGGTATCTTTTCAGGATTTAATTTCATTCCTACATTTGGCAAAAGCAAATTAGAACTAACATTTAATGATGAGGCATGTAGTTTTATTAATGTCCACTTGCGTTCTGTATAATAATAATATAGTGCAGCATTTTATATTAGTTCTGTCAGAATTTATAATGAATACTCCTAATAAATAATTTATTGCACATTTTTTTTACAAATTATTACTATGATTATTCAGATCAGGGTTTTTTTCCTGTGAAGATGTAGCTGATCTGGATGTAAAAGATACCAGTGGGAGAAACGCAGAAAGATATAATTTAGAAATATGAAATGTATTGATTTCAATTTCTTTTGTTCTAAAACAGCAAGTAAATCATAGAAGCCAAAATGGCTGAAGGCATGCATCTTTATAATGTTAAAATGGTCAGCTGAGAGGAAGGCAAAGCTCTAGGAATATCTCAGCAGGGATACGATACCTGTTTTTGCATGCAAAACCGCTCAAAAGACTTTAATTATTTGGACCATCTTGCTGTCATGCCTGTGCCGTTGTTTCTTATGCCCTCCCACTAATTATTTCATCTGTAAGCATGCTCTTTTTTGTACAATAGTTACATATTTGTTATATAGGATAGCTGCATTATTTGCGATCCTATATTTACACCTAATCTGGCATTAGAGTTTTATTGTTCACTGGACTGTTATATATTCATTTTAAAAAGCAAACAAAAAGCTATAATTGTGGAACAAATCATTAAAAAATAAACTAAAGGTACATAACCTATTCTTGGCTAAAAAGAAGGATAAAATATTTCAAATAAACATTTATGCTTATATATATTTACTTGCTCTTAATTTTATTGAGCTTGCAGTTTTGAAAATAGAAGTGAATTTCTCCAATTTTCATTCTCATTCTGCTTCTGGTATATAATTAATGCTTGTCCTTTCTTCCTCCCTCTTTCCCCACGCACCGAATATGCTAAAAGTTTGGTGGCAGTGAAGTATATGGGAACATGAAAAAAATAGTTTCCCGTTTTTAACAAAGGAATTAAAAACTGTTTTGTGCTTAGAATAATACCTCTAGATGCTAACTTATAAATTCATCTATAGCCAAACATTGACTTAATTTAGTCAGTGTAGATAACCACCTATAACATACAGCTTTTTTTCTCCCCCAGATTCTACTGATGTATGTGAACAATTTGAAAATTTTCTTCTATAACCTCTTAAGAAAGCTATTATTTAAAGCATTTTACATTGACAACTTCTTTCTCCTGATTTGCTCAAATCAGCTAATTCAGTGAATTATAACTGTTTGAGCCACAAATTGTCTATGGGACCACAGTTAAAGCAATAAAAGAAAATAATCAAGCTATTTGCTTGATTAGGCAGTAACCATTGCTGTGCTTTCTTAGCCTTTTCATTAAACCTGAAAGAAACTTTGTTCAGTTAATCAATCTTAGTCAATTTAAGGATTTTAATTCATGATTGCTTGCTTTACTTGATGAGTTTAGAGTTTAGACAAATACTTTATGTTTTGAGAGTGAGCTATAGCTTATTTTCAATCAGTAAAACCACCTTATACTTTAATATATCTCAAGTGTGTCAGATTTTGCTGATACATATCCTTTAGTTTAGGCATGTCAAACTGCCGGCCCATAGGCCGGATGCATCACACCGAAACCGCACCCACCCCATTGCTGGCAATGGGAAAAAAGTCCTGATATGTCACGTGATGTTACGAGTTTGACATGCCTGCTTTAGTTGGTGGGTTTTTTTTAATCTCAAGAAGTATAATAGCGAAAAAAGCAACATTTGACAAGACAGACTTGATGATATAACTAATATATATGGAAATAGGTGACAGCCACACATGTTTTGTCCAATAAGTGATCTGTTCCTCTGCTAACTGTTCGAAGCCAGTTGACTAGAGCAGGGGTAGGCAACCTTGGCTCTTTTATGACTCGTGGACTTCAACTCCCAGAATTCCTGAGCCAGCCATGCTGAGGGGAAAGGGAGAGGTTTCTAAGCTGAGCCATGCTGGCTCAGGAATTCTGGGAGTTGACGTCCACGAGTCATAAAAGAGCCAAGGTTGCCTACCCCTGAACTAGAGTATCCAAAACCTCTTCCTATTTTATTTTTTTTATTGACTTCTCTATTCTAAGATTACCTGATTGGATTGTAAAAATGCATGAAACAGTTAAATGGCATTAAATAAAGAAGACTCTTAATTGATGCAGTCCAAAGTTTTGAAGGCCAGTAGCCCTGTTTTACATTCTGCTTTTCAGCCAATATTATTTTATAGTTAAAATACACTAGTAC